TAGCCATCTCCCCAACCCTAAAGTCACTTTTATAAAAATATTTGGTTTTTTTTTCACGCGTGTATGTGTTTTGTTTTCACATTTGTAAATGCACTGCATGTGTGCAGTGCCCTTGGGAGGCCAGAAGAGGGCCTCAGATTCCCCTGTAACTGTGGTTAATAGATGATTATTATCCTCCATTTGAGTTCTGGTAACTAAACTTTGGTTCTTTGCAAAGAACAGTAACTACTCTTAATGGTGAACCAACTCTTCAGCTCCATCTCCCCCCCCCCTTTTTTTTTTGATCCTGTGCTTGCTATGCAAGCATTCTGCCACTGAGCTAAATCCCCAAGCCCCTAAAACTACTTTGAAATTGATTTTATATTGTCCATTTTTTTGTGTTTTTTTTTTGATAACTTTGATGGTTTCTTCTAGCTCACGTGTCTTTTAATTTTGAACTATTTTCCAAATTTTAGAAAAAGAAATATTAACGTTTTGATCTACTCAGAAAATCAGCTTAAATATCTATTGCAATTATAGATCATATGCTGTTTATGAGCTTGCCAATTTTTTTCTTTTATTTCACAAGCCATCATAAACTTCCAGTTATGGAGTTTTTCTTGTGTAGTTTTTGCTTTTCACAATTATATTGTATGTTTTATTTTCATTTTCATTTCTCCAGCCATTAGTTTAAATGGTATTAGTGTCCTTTTGCCAAAGACCATGTGCACCGCAGACTCAATAAAGTGTATTAAATTTATTCATACACAATAACTGAGTGCATACTTTTATGTTTTATGTAGGGGGTTGTATTAGTTACTTTTCTATTACTATGATAAACATCATGACCAAGGCAACTTATGTATGGAAAGAAGAATTTATTTGACTTACTCTTCCAAAGGTATGAGTCCATCATGGTGACAAGAAGGCATGGCAGCAGAGGTAGCTGGAGTAAAATGTTGAATGCTCACTTCAAGCAGGCACAGGAAGGAAAGAGACACTGACTGTAAGAAGTTGCTTTGAACTCTTAAAGCCCACCCCGAGTAACATGCTTCCTCCAGCAGGGCCACACCTAAAGAATCCATGACCCTCCCTAAATAGCACAGTTAACTGGGGACCAAGTGTCCAAATACTTGGAGCCTGTAGGGGATGTTCTCATTCAAACCATCATAGGGACTTAAAGGAATTGTATTAGTCAGGGTTCTCTAAAGAAACAGAACCAGTAGGATGAATATATATGATAGATAGACAGATAGATAGATAGATAGATAGATAGATAGATAGATAGATAGATATAGATTTATCAGCTTAGCTCACAGGATAGAGTCTGAGTAGTCCAACAGTGGCTGCACCACACTGGAGAGGCTGAGAATCAGGCTGGTTGTGTCAGTAGTCCCAAACTGGTGCTGAAGGTCAGACAAATTCCAAGAGATCTGTTAGTCTTCAGTCTACAGCAGCAAGATGAACTCACCAATGAGAGAGAAGGCAAGCAGCAAAAAGCAAGCACTCTCCTCTGCCATGGCCTTTTATATGGGCTGCCATCAGATGGCAACACCCATATTTAGGGTGTGTCTTTCAGCTTCAGATGATCCAATCAAGATCACTCTCATTTCAATTAATCCCAGATCTAGTCAAGTTGACAACCAGGATTAGCCATCACAGGTTTTGATTCAGTATATAGGATACTGTGTCAGATGCAGAGTGTTGAATGTAATTCTGTTGTTGGTAAATCAGCAGCTACTATGTGGAAGTCTGCAATAATGGAGTGAAGGGAGGTTGAATAGGTTAAAAGTACCAGTCAGGTACTTTAATGAAGGATGGGTACATTCCTCATTTGCATGATTCTTAGTGTTTTATTCTTTGTCAGTTTTACAGACAATCTTACAGAGTGCCCTTTTGTCATAGTCATTAAGGTGGACGTATGGGACATGTACTGTCAGCAGCAGATTTGGCCTTGCTGAGTGAGATCAACAGCACTGCTCTGTAGAAGTTTTTCCTTAGTTACTGTATTAACACTAAAGTATTTCCTACAATACATTGGATACTGTTCTTCATAAGTACAGATGGTCTCTGACTTTCTAAAGAGATACCTTATCATAAATGCATGGTAAGGTGAAAATATAGTGGGAAATGCACTTCCCTCTTAATTTGTTATCAGCAAATCTTAGACTAGTCTAAATAACATTTTCAGGCTATTTATATTACAACTACAAAAGATTTGTTTTCATTTGAGACAGGCCTGGAACTTGCTATGATGACTAGGCTGACCTCAAACTCACAGAGATCTACCAGACTCCCCATAGCTAAAATTAAATGTGTGTACCACCATGCCCAACAAGATTGTTTTACCTTCTGCACCGTATCCTTCCCTTTTTGGTTTGGTTTGTTTTAAAAATACTTTATTAGAGCCAGGCATGGTGGTGCACACCTGTAGTCCCAGCACTTGGGAGGTAGAGGCAGGCAGATCTCTGTGAGTTCAAGGCCAGCGTGGTCTACATAGTGAGTTCCAGGACAGCTGGGGCTACAGGGAGACCCTGCTTCAAAAAGACAAAAAAAAATCCTTTATTAGTTTTATTTTATGTGCATGAGTGTATTGCTTGCATGTAGGTAAGTACCCCATGTCCTGCAGTGCTGGTGGAGGTCTGGATCCCCTGGAACTGGAGTTACAGGTGCATTGGAGTGCATTGGATCCCCTGGAACTGGAGTTACAGGTGGTTGTTAGCTGCCATGTGGGTGCTGGGAATTGAACCCAGGTCCTCTACTGAGCAGCCAGTGCTCTTAACCATGGAACCATCTCTCCGGCCTCCTTATCACTTTCTTTCTTAAGAAAAAAAAAGTTTTAAAATCTTCAGAGGGGGGATGTTAAGAGTAGCAAAAAGCCCTATACATTTAACTGGTCCAGACTATAAAATCTCTAGTCCATCTGTTGGACGACCCACTTTTCTATTCTCACTGGTCAATTACCTGATGATAGAATCACTCCTAGGAAGGCAGGTTCACTTTAAGTTATGCTAAATAGATGGGCAGACTACCTGATGCCTCAATGAAGTAGGGAATTCTTCCTGCCTAGAAATAGTGCAGCCTCCGCAGAACTTCTGGACCAGCCACAGTCATGTAGGTCTCTGTAAGTCTGTCTGCTTTCCTGAAGAATTCAGGAAAGCATAATTTCCCCTTCTCTTCTTCATGCCTTTCTTACTAAACATGCTTTCTTTAAGGCTTTGGGCTGCCCCTAGCATCTTGTAGTATTTCTTTACTTTTTCTCTAAAGCTTCCTTCTCCCAGTCATGTGGCTGCTGGACAGCCACATGTCTGACCTCCCACGAAGACTCTAAACCTTCATTGTTTCATGACTTTCTTTCCTTCTTCCCACCACTCACCTTCTTAAGGCAGCTGCCAAGATTACCAGCTCACCTGCCCTGAGGGTTTTTCTTTAAGACTCTAATAAGATTGTAAAAGCTTCAAAAAAAAAAGTTTTAAAATTGTTAGCATGGACATACCCCTGCCAGAGTCTGACCCTGGTGGGTGGTCACCATGAAGTTTAACCCCTTCCTGATCTTGGACCACCGCAGCAAAACCCACAAATGCCTCTTGATTATTTCCTCCCACATGTACAGAAAGATCATGTCTTCTCCCCTCTCCAAGGAGATGTGGCAGAAATGCATTAACTACTCAGGCTGCACAACCCCAGCTACAACTGGAAGTGTGGGGATGGTTGGCGGGGTGAGGTGAGCTTCTGGGCAACTCACCAGGCTGGCCCGATTCATGAGCTGCCTTATTTTTTAATTGTGTGTATTCATATGTGTCTGTGTGGGGATATGTACACATGAATACAGTTGCGCACTGAGGCCAGAAAAGGGTGTCAGAATCCTTGGAACTGTAGTTACAAGTGATCGTCAGCTACCCGACATGGGTGGCTTGTCCTCTGAAACAGCGACAAGTGCTCTTAACCACTGAGCCGTTTCTCAAATTCCTGTCTTTCACTTTTGGAAAGTGGGTGTTTGTTTGCTTCGTTTTGCGTTTTGGCCTCTGTAGTTTTTTTAACGCATGAGAAATGGGGTGAAGAAAACACAGGTCTTCTCACATCTTCAGCAAGGACTTTATCATTAAGATACATTTTTAGTCCCACAGTGATAGTCAGATAGTGCTAAAAGGAGTGTTTTCTGGCCATTCCACCACCTTGCCCTCTTTCTCACTAGAGAAAATCTGCAGGATATCACAAAGAAGATCAGATATCACTTCATAAAACCCAGGACTAACCCAACACAGTGTGCCATGGTCTAGAGTTCCAGTTGCTTGGAAGGTCAAAGCAGATGTACTTTTAATACCAGGAGTTTGATACTGTTCATGGCAACATAATGAGACCACAACACACACACACACACACGCAAAATAAACAAACAAACAAATAAATAATGACGGACATATTGGGCTTAACAAGCATAGCAATTTACTTATTTGTTTTTATTTTTTTATATTTATTTAGGAAAATCCTAACGAGTTTATTGGGCTTGCTAACAGAGCATAGGATGGGGGTTTACTTACAGAAGAGTGCCCCCTCCCATTTATGGTTGTGCTGGAAAGTCCACACTCAAATATAGATCCTGTGACTTCCCAACAGCCGCACAAAATGGCGAGAGAGGGGCCTCAAGCTCTCAGTTTATATAGCCTTAGCCCCTCCCCCACAAAGCATAGCAATTTAGTACCTACAGAAAGAGAATTCCAAGGTAAGAGATAAGTATAGTACGTGATTAAAATGGAGCCCAAGGTGGTGGAAATGCTAGGGACTTCCTGAATCAGCTCAAACTTGCCCTTTCTCTCCTGCCCTTGGCTCCCTATTGCCTAGAGAGTAATCCAGCTGTTAAGAGCCTTTGGTCAATTAGAGGAAGACAGGAGTTTGGGGATCAAAGACGCCAGCCCCGCCTCCCTCGCCCAGGCCACAGGTGGTTCTCTGTCGTCCTCCAGCGCCCTCTGCTGGTGCGCGGTGAGGCGCAGACACAGGTGACAGCTCTGTTCTGGTATCCACAGGTGGATGGGGCTCAGGCGGTCCAGGCCGGGTGTGGGGGTCACTGCGCGCCCCGGCTCAGCCGCTCCACCCGCAGCCACAGCCCGCCCTCCGCGCGCAGGATCAGCTCCGGCTTTCTACGCGGCTCCACGTCATCCGGCAGGACGCGGAAGCGCAGCAGCGTCAGCGCCAGCGCCACCTTCATCTCGCTCATGGCGAACGTCTGTCCAATGCAGTTCCTGCAGGAGGACCGGGCTGGGGACTCTGACTGCGCGGGACCCAGCCAGGCCATCGGACCGAACCCGCCCAGGTCCCCGCCGGGGCTGGTGCCCTGAGGGTCCGCGAGGGGCTGACGTGCCTGGGACCCCGCGTGGGCGTCCGCGTCACCGAGCCCGGCACAACCTCAGCACCCAACTCAGACCCAGGAGGGACTCAGCACAGGGCGCCGCCCTTGACCTTCCAACCCCGGTCTCCAAACCTGTGCACAGAACCTGCGCAGAGGGCGGAAGGAGACAGGAACTGGACCATCCCATCTCTCCACTTTCCCCACCATGAGTCTCAGGCCGCACCCAGTCACCCCTCTGGCCTCACCTGGGCCCAGCGGAGAAGGGAATAAATGCCAGTGGTGACCTGTCCTTGATGTTCTCTGGGTCAAAGCGGAAGGGGTCATAGACCTGCCGGAGAGACCAGCCACGGTGGATGAGTGCCTCCCAGCACAGCCAGGCACAGAGGCCTGCATAAGCTGAGGAGAGTGAGGTCTGGTTTCCCGCTTCCTGTCCTAGAACCCTCTATCCCATGATATAGGAGAATAGGAGGGGAGAGAGGCAGCACCTCAGGGTCCGGCCACACAGATGGGTTGTGATGAACCCCAAAGATGCTGATGAGACAGATTACACCTGTGAGAGAGGAGCGGCCTGTCAGGACAAGACTCCATTGCCTGATGCACCAGCTGCCTACCCACGACCCTCCTCCCCTCTCCCATGGGCACCTTTGGGGATGACCCGGCCATCCGGGAGTGGAACGTCCTGGGTGCAGCGGCGGGATATGACTGTGACCGGGGGATGCAGACGCATACTCTCCTTGATGCACATGGTCAGGAAGGGCAGCTGGGCCAGGTCGTCCCTGAGGAACCCACCCAACAATTACCAGGAGCAAAAGAGAGGCTGCCAGTTCCCGTGGATCAGCAAAATAGTTTCTCATAGAAATTATATAAGCCCCAAGTGGATCAAATACATAGTAACTACAACAGCAGAGAATTAGGAAGTGTCCTGAACTAAGACTGACCTCCCTGCCTGCACAGTTCCTGACACACAGATCCCTGCAGCATCCATTTCAGGTCTCTGGAGCCCAAATGAAGGCGGGTACAGAATTGGGGTGAGGGTGTAGTTAGGAGGGGTTTCTGAATGAACACTAGATGGATGAATGACCCAAGGACTTGGGCAAAAAAAAGGTGTCTCCTATAAATCTCTGGACTGAAACGTGAAGAAGAAACACTCAGGGAAGAAAATACTGCTACAGGAGAGAGACATGAAGGAAGGGAAGGGCATTCACTGAGCATGTGCAAAATGGCATCATCCTTCCTGTATATTTTCACTGTTCTCTCAGCAACACAAATCCTTCTGTCCCCAAACCAATAACCCTTCTCTTGTTAGCCAGGCTGGGTACCATTCCTCTTTCTGAGCTCAGCTCCTGAGCTCACCAAGAAATAATAGAAAAATCAGTAAAAAGAGCTCCCTTTCCCCATCTGGGGAGAAGAGCCAAGGAGAGGGGCTCAAGAACAGACCAGGGGGACCTGCACTCACCATTCAATCTCTGTAGACTCACGGTCCCTCAGGAGCTCCTGCACCTCCTGCCGGCAGCGCTCCTGGTATTCTGGATGCTTCGCCAGGTTGTACAGGATCCAGGAGAGCCCACTGGCTGTGGTGTCATGTCCTGAGGGGTATCCAGACAGGCTTGTGTCTCTGGGCAACATCAACACCATAGAGTGGACAGAACCCAGACAATGAAGTTCCCAGGAAAGGGAGAATGGGCAGAATGGAGGGATCCAGGGTGCCCCCAAGAAGTCCACAATGGAGAGACTCCTGCCTCTAGTCCCACACTGGGACACTCACCCTCAAACATGAAGGTGTCAGCCTCTGCTCGGATGTCCTTATCTGACAAATGCTTTCCATCTTCATCCTGGATACAAGGCAGATAACATCAGTTCTGAAAATTCCTATGTCTAAACTAAGACAATTTCTTAAGACCCTTTTCTAGCCAAAAGCAAAGCCCATTCCATCACTGCATATCTCTCAGTTGACACTGGTAGAGTCCTAACTTCACAGGCTTCGTACTGGTTGTCCTGCCTTCTGTTTTGTCTTCAGTTGGAGGAATCAGTGACCCCTGAATAAATGTTTCCATGTTTCTGCATGATGAAGAATTTCTGAGAAAGTTACTAAGGACTTGACTTGCAGGATGACTTTATGACAACTTGCCTTGGAAGTTAGAAATAAACCACTACTTCAAAGACTTTTTCTCCCATGCCAAGGGAGATAAGATTCTGTGGAATCTTATCTTAAATCCTGTGAAGTCATCTGGTTTGCAAATTTATAGACTTTACCTTTGCTCTGGACTGAACATTTTTATATTCCAGAACGAAGTCTCCTCTGGCTCCTTCCCTCCTCCCTCCCTTCCTCCTTTCCACTTTCCCTGCCCCTTTGGTCTCTATTTACCTCCTTGAAGGGAACTAGACTCAGATGAGCCTGTCATTCCTGGCATTTCTCTTTGCTGTAAACCCCGCTACACATACTGGTAAAACACTTTACACTGGGAAAGAGGGCACTGGGAATGGGGAGCCATTGCTATACTTTTGTTCTAGCTGTGTTTATTGCATGACTAATAAAAATGCTGATGTCAAAATGGACATAGACAGATATGTGTGTTATGCAATGATGTACTAACTTGTAAAATGCTCAGTCTTTTCAAAGTTTCAGACATGACTGTCCCCTGCATTCTACATTCCAGGGTCATCCCTAAAACCTGCCTACATGTGGTATGTCCCTCCCTACCTCAAGCACCTTCCATGGCTCCACATGCCCTCTGTATCAAGCTCATGTTATTCGACATGACATTTGGCATCAATCTCCATTCTACCCCTAAGAAGCCCACCTTGGTCAGCAGCAGCACATCAATGAAGTCCAAAGTCTTGGACTTGGCCTTAGACTTAAGGAAGTCATCCAAACCCTGATCTGGGAGGGTGTAGCGTCGCTCCTGAATGACGGCATCCGTGAAGTCGTGTACTAGGCGACAGGCCTTCTGGAAGCGCATCCCATCAGGGGTGAGATGATACAGCAAGTCTATGTATAGAAGGGGCTGCTGGTGCCTTTTGGCCACTAGGGCACTAAGCTCCAAGATAGCAGCAATATACTCGCTGGGCTTCCTGTAGGATTTGGGTGTGGAGGAGGCAATGATTTAACATATGTGAATTCCAAGGAGCGCCTCTCACCAACAGCCAGGAACTGCTTCCCTTGGGGAATAGAGTAGCCAGAAACAGCTGGCCACATAGGCAGAGTAGGAGGAGCCCTGAGATTCAGTTCTACACGGTCTCATCACAACTCCGTGAGCTGCCTTCAGGCCTGCCCCTAGTCCCCCAGAGCACACTGTGCACCCCTTTCCTTTCAGGATCCAGACTGCCCCACCTCCTTCCTGAGACTGTCCACCCAGCTTGGACGTCATTCTCCAACAGGCCTAGAGCTCAGTTCCCTCACTAGTGTTGCTGCTTCCAGTGTCAACTCATTTAACGTATGCATGACAAGTCACTGTTGACAGCTCTACTCTGATCGCACCCATCATCAGCTCTGCTGTAATTTGGAACCATCCCCACAAAGGCAGCATGTTAAAGGTGGGGTCTAGGGGAGGAATTTAGGTCATAGGAGATGATCTTGATGGGAATCTCTCTCTCTCCTCCCCTCCCCTCTCCTTCCTTCCCCTCCTCTCCTCTCCCCCACCTTTCTGGATGCTACGAGGCTTTCAGCCTCCTGTATCATGTGTCCCTGGTTATGATGTGCTGCTGTACCACAGGCCCTAAAAGCAATGGAACCAACCCACCACTGACTGAGAAACCATGAATCAGAACTAAACTTTTTCTCATTTCAGGTTGATTCTCTAAGGTGCTCTTTGTCATATTGTTGGAAATATGACTAACACATGCTCAAACAACTTATTTAACTTGGAAATCACAGGAAAAAGCCAAATCATTGCCAGGTCTTTCACTGGCCTTATGATCTAACCAACTGTTGATCCCTTGAACTTCATTTCCAAGGGGCCTCCTCACTGCCTGTCCCACATTCTCTGCTTGCTGGTGTCTCTGTGGATTTATCCAATTACACCTCCCTAGAAGAATCACTCACTGTCTTCCTCCCAGGTCTTTCATCCATATTTCTGACCCTCCTCCTCTAGAGGGGCCTCTCTTCTCCCTCTGGCCAGTCCTCCTCCCTCCTTTGGCTCCATGGCCCAAGTTCCCAGATCTTGGACAAAGACTTACTCCTGACAGTTGCTGTCAAAGCTGAAGACACATTTCTGCAGACTGTCCAGAGTCATGAGGCTGACATGCTCAAACATGTCCAGACGGGCACTGCATTCTGAGATCAAATACTGCCACTTGGCCTGGCAGGTGAAGGGGAGAGGGCTGGTATTGAACCATGGATCTTTGAGCCCTGGCTAATCTCAACCATTAGGACTGACCCCTGCCCCAGAAGCAGCTTCCTCATCTTCTGCTCCAGGCACCCAACTCCAGGGATAGCCAAGGTTGGGAAAGGGGAAGCTGGGACCCTTCATTCCAAGGACTCACATGCATGATGTTAGTGCTGTGATTAAAAATCTTCACATAGGGCTTCAGGATGTTGAAATGGAAGGCAGGTGTCAACATGCGACGGTGGTGGCTCCACTTGTCACCAGCGCTCACCAAGAGCCCATCCCCTGGTAGAGCAGTCATAGAAGTGGGCAAGGGTAACACCTTTTCCTGACCCCCTAGTGGTGTCCCCTGCCTCTCACCTGTAGAAACTTACCCAGCCAAGGTTTCAGGGTTCTGTAGAAGACCACATCTTTGAGTACAACTGAAGCTGACATGAACAAAGACAGTTAGGAGATGTGGAGGAGGTGGAGGATGGACCGTGAGAGAGAGAGGGAACCCCTACCCAGGATTCTGCATGTCCCCTCCAGCATGATGGGGAAAGAGTCAAGGGCTGAGGAAGCAGGCAGAAAGTAGGAAGTGAGGTCAGACCAGACCAGGCAGCAGCAGTAGCAGGTAGGTCAAAAGCATAACCTGACATGACACACCAGCCCGAGCATGCTTTCACATGGCTTCTACATGGTCCAACCTGTCTGCCACACCTGAGTCTATCACCACACTCTACAGACATTTACAGGGATCTAGGGCCTCCCTGTTCATGTCAATAATCTCTGACAGCTATTGAAACAGACATGGGACACATGTCATGGACACGCAAGAGTTGACATGACATGGCATGGCATCAACATTCATGACCTGCCCTGACATGACACTGCATGCTATGACATGGACCAGAGATTGTCTGACAGACCTCAGTGTGCCCCACAGACAGGCCTCTGACAGGATTTGAAAATGGCCATGTCAGCCAGGCAGGCTTGTAATTCCAGCACTTGGGAAGTCAAACCAGGAAAATCCAGAGATTGAGCCCAGCTGTCTCCAAAAAAGCAAAAGATCCATTAATATAGCAGATATGGCCCAGATGTGACCCAACTGTGCAACTGATGGCACATGGATATACTTAAAGTATATACTTAGACAAGACTCAGATAAGATCTCAGTCATTTCTTAGAGAGACCCTGGGTTCTAGACCTCAGACAGTCCCAAAGAGAGCCCAGATGTGACAAGCAAGAAAAAAAAAATACAAATCTCCAACAATTGCTCAGACAGAACACAATATGCCTCAAAATGTTCAGGTTCATAGCTAAGCCCAGACATGACCATTTTCACATATACCAGATGTCAGTGTAAAGGTGACCTTACAGAAGGTGTGGCCACACAGCAGACATCACACAGTCATGGTCCTGACACAAGCTAAATAACTGGAGATGATACAGGAGATGTCCAGGTGTGACCAAAGTGGGAGCATTACTGCCACGGTCCCACCTGCCTGCCTGATTCATGTTGCATCATCAGCTGGAGACAACACACAGACTTGAACAGTGGGCAAACTACAGCCAGTGCAGTGTCTGCCTGGAGTGAAGGTCATGGGCTTCATGAAAATGGAGTGATGCAGGCTGGTGAGATGATTCAGTGGGTAAAAGCACTTCTACACACAGCTTGAGGACCTGAGCTTGAATCCCCAGAACCTATACAAAGCCATACGTGGGAGCAAATATCTGTAACTCCAGTGTTCTCATGGAAGAATGAGGGAAATACGTAGGAAAATGTTCCACTCCAAAGTTCAAGGGCTAGCTAGGCTACAGATGCAGCAGCTGACAATCAGAGACCATCTCAAATGAGGTGATAGGCAAGGACCAACCAACACCCAAAGTGTCCTCTGATTTCCATACATGTGCCATAGCATATGCATGTCTGAACTCATGCAAACATGCACATACCCACAACACACACACACACACACACACACACACACACACACACTAAGCCAAAAAGAAAGTGGTGTGCTGGATTTAGGTTGCCAAGTGCCAGGGGCCCCACCATTCACAACTGAAACAGAATTTGGCAACCAGAGAGAATCAGGCACCTGCCTGGCAGGTGACAGAGCCATGGTCACTATAGGATACAAGCCCTTCCCAGCTCAGCCTGGCCTGTTCCAGAATGGTCAGGTAGAGGGCAGGAGGAGAACAGGCTGCAGTGGGGTGTCCTAGGGGAGATTTCTGGGGCCTAGAGCAAGACAACAATCACCAACCAACTGGATGAGACAGAAGGGTCAAGCCAGGAGAGTTGGGTAGCATAGAAATATTAATAGTAGCCCAGATCATCCACCAGCCACAGGTTTTTTGGTTGGCCTATGTCTAGGGATGGCACTGTGGATGCAGGTGAGGGCCTCAGATGTTTCTGATGCCACTGTGTCACCTACCCCTGCCTTCTACATTCCTTCTCATTGCAGACATGGCTTGAGCAGCTCCACCTCCAGGAAGCCTCTATACATATCCTAGCCAAGACCTTGTCTCTCCATTCAGCTATCATGGCCCATCTTCCTCTCTGGCCATTCCTGACTACATAAGACTGGAGATGTCCCTGTTCAGTTCTATCTCAAGAACTGACTTCCTCTAGGACAGGGCCTTGGCAAACCAAGGGACAAGGCCTCAGGGGATCCTCCAAAAATCCCAGAACACCAAGACCCAGGTGGGTATAGGGTGACACGAGAGGGAGAGAGAGAGAGTAGCATAGGAACTGGAGAACCTGCAAAGAGAAGATGGAAAGGCTGAGGGAGAAAGAGAAGGAGGGATTGGGCTGCTGCAGGGCCACACAGAAGCATGGGATGGGGACCGGAAGCCCCCAGATTCCCACAATACCAGAAGCTCCCATGGATACCTGAGGCATTAAGGACAGATCGGACGATGTCAGGGTGGCACAGATTGATGACAGGAACCACTGGGCCCATCCATAACATAAAGCCCTGCGGATAAGTTCCCACCAGCTCAGCTATCACTTTCAAGCCCTCCTCTGAGGGAGGTGCCTGTAAGAAAGACAAGGACAGTCACCTCCAGGTTTGTTTCAGGGGTCAGCTTCGCTGGGCTATGCCATGAGTGAAACTGTGTTTGGATTTTGCAGGGATGGACAGAATCCCTGCCTCTTTCTGCTCTTGTCCTCTCAGAGCCATGTCCAAGCCCCAAGAGTCCATTCCAGGCCTAGTAGGCAAGTTATGCTGTCTACTTATGTCCTTCCACGTCCTGGTTGGTCCACAGTTTCCAGTTCCTCTTACCAACAAGAGGACACACATTTTGGAACTTCTGGCCTTGGCAGATCCCAGGGGAGCAGAGATGGCCTCTAAATCCCCATTAGAGTGGCAACTCCTACCCTTCAGCACCTGCTGCCCACCAGGCTAAGACAGAGCATCCTGAACTCCTGTGCACAGCCCATACAGGCATTTGCAAGTGAAGAAACTGCAGCCAAGTTATCAAAAGGGAAGAACAGACCTAAGACAAAGTCCAAGTGTGGGGCCAAAGGTAGGGTCAGGGGTGGGGTCAAGGAAGGCTTGTGAAAGGGTAAGTGGACAGCCTTTATCCAGGTTGGGCAACTGGTCTCACTGGCCCATCTTAGGGGAGAAGAGCATGATAAGGAGGAAGTGGCCCAGGGAGGGGAGGTAGGGAGTCAGCTTGCAGTTCTCCTCTAGCCCAGTTGTGTCCCATTTGTGTGTGGTGGGGGTAGGGAGGTGGGGAGATCAAAGATCATTCCTGTGAAACAGTATAAGGCCAGAGATAGGCACACACACACACACACACACACACACACACACACACACACAAAATGGTCCCAGACAAAGTCCTCAGGAGGAAAATCCAATACCAGACAGTGTGAGAAGGCCAGGGGTCCTCACGGTGTAGTTTGCCCTGGGAGACCCTCAGTGCCCCTCAGTATGAGGAAGAGAGGTTGGAAATAAATCCAGAGAAGACTAGGACTGGGAGCCCAGGAAGGTAAGAAAGGCCTGGAAAGGTACTCCCAAGGTCATCAGGTAACCTCCACTCGATCACCCTGAGCCCCATTCCTGGCCCCTCAAAAGTCTGTCTACTCTGACACCCCATACCCATCCTGATGCCATACTTACCATGCCCACATGACCCATGAGCCAGTTCCGTTTGGGGGGCTGAGGGAAACCACGGAGGCGACGATAGTTTCCAAAAATGACATAGATCTGTACCAGGATGTAAGCCAGGAGCCAGGAGGCCCCAGTCAGCAGCGGTAACTGCCATAGGGAAGTCACCTCAGGCCACAGCCCTAACCAGGACAAGCTCAGCTGCAGCATCCTGCAGAGCAAATAAATGAACAGCAGGTGAGTTCTTGAGGTCCAAGAAACAGATGGGAGTCTTCAGGGCCATTGGACAGGGATAGGGGCTGTAAGGGCTCAGGGCAGACCACGGAGGAGGAACAGTGAAATTCAAGGAGACACAGAAAAAGAGTGAATGAGAGGGGATAAGGAAATGAGGAGGAGCAAGAGGATGAAGACTAGAACTAGCAAAACATGGAAGAGGAAGGAGATTTGTTAGAGTTCAGACCTCACTAAGTTATACAGACTTGAGCAAAGGTTCAGTTATTCAGAAACCACCATCTCCAGAGCCAGCTGGCTCTCTGTGGCAATTCTATTTGTCCAGCTGGCTTCCTATTCTTCCTCAGCCTTGGGTTGTGCCCTCCTCATTCCAGACCAGGCCTCTGCAGTCCCACTACCTCCAGCCTGGTACCTTCTCTCTTGGAACAACAATTTGACACACCTTCCCTCTCCTCTTCTGGGACTCTTTTGTCCCTGGCTCCTGGATGCTGGGAGGCTGGGCTGTTCTAAGCTGGCCAATCCCTGCCCAGTCTAGCTGCCTCCTCCTTGCCTGGGAAAGTGGCCAAGATGTGAGAGGCAGATCCAGCCTGGTTCAGAAGGGAGCTAACTCAGGGTCATAAACCTACAGATTGGACACTTGCTCCTTAGAACTTGGTCCTCTCATGTGGGGCAAAGGATACTCTGAGTTACTATGTTTCCAATGCCCCTGCCCCTGCAAGGGCATGGTACAGTCAGTAAAAGGGCAGACTTGGGAATTCACATGCCAGAAAACCAGAACTTGGCCAATCTGGACCTAGATAATCTCCCAAGATCCTGAGATGGACTGGGAGGACATCATGCATTGTTTCTCGGTATGGTATTAGAAGGTTATGAAATTGAAGGGTCTGCCTGCCAGCTGCTTGCCTTGTACAGTTCAAGTCCTGAATTCCAGTAGTCTAGAGTCTCAGACAGGATATTTAGGAGCAAGAACAAAGAATCCAGGTCCTATTTCAGGGATTAAAAGCCCAGCCGGAAGTGCACAACTGAAGCTGGGCTGGGGTGGAGCTGGGAGGTACAGGGAGGAGGGGAGATATGTGGAATGAGGCTGAGAGGGGCCCTGAACAGATGGAGTCCAGGCAGGAGAAGGTAGAGCTTTTCTTTATCTTCTTTTTTTTGACTTATTTATTTTTATTTTGTGTGTATGAGTGTTATACCTGCATGTATGTAAGTGCACCTGGGTTGTTTAGTGCCTGCAGAGGACAGAAGAGGGCATTGGATCCCCTGGAACTGGAGTTACAGGCAGTATGTGGGTGCTTGGATTTGAACCCAGGTCTTCTGCAAGAGCAGCCAGTGCTCTTAACCACAGAGTCACTTCTCCAGCCCCTCTTTTCTTTTCTTAATTGGAGCCTGAATAGCACTTGAAAAAAAATTTACTGTTCTATATAATCATTATTTTTTACAAATTTTTTGTTGTTGTTTTGAGACAGAGTCTTATATAGCCAAGGATGACCTTGAACTTCTTATCTTCCTACTTCTAGCACTTGAGTGCTGGGATTACAGGTGTGTTCCACCATGTCCAGTTTATGCATTACTGGAAAGCAAATACAGGCCCTTTTGGATGCTTGGCAAGCACTCTGTTCATTGGGCTACATTCCCAACTTGCTAATTTATATATTTTTTAAAATATTTTATTTATTATATTTATTTTACGTATATGAGTATATTGCCTGCATGTATGTAAGTGCACCCATGTCTTGCAATGCCCTCAGAAATCAGAAGAGAATGTCAGATTCCCCTGGAACTGGAGTTATGGATGATTATTAACTGTCATATGGGTGCTGGGAATCAAACCCAGGTCCTCTGCAGTGCTCTTAACCAACTCTCCAGCCCCATAATCTGTATTTTTACAAATTCTCAGGGGAGGGACAGGGATCTCTAGGGGCAGTGGACAGGAGCAGAGTCTGCTAGGACTGGGAACAGAGTAGAGAGGGTGAGGGATACCAGGGAAACACATGGGGAAAGGTGTGATAAGGCATCTTCTTGATCAACATAGCTACGCCATGTTGAAGTTTAGGCTGAATCTAGCCTCTGTAACTAAAAGGCAGTTGGTCCAGGATGTGGGAACAGAAAGGTGAGGCTCAGCTGCACCAAGGTATGAGTTTGAGAATACATCAGCAGGCTTCTGGTTGCCTTGAGAACAGGTCACCATGTTCCTAGTTACCCCTGCTAACAGCAGATTTATGGCTTCTGTAAGTTTCGTTTGGTTTACTCTTGCAGAATAGTAATTGTTGTCTTATAGAATAGAAATTGTTAGGGGGGCTTTCCACCCCTAAGCTTGGGAACTTAAACTTTTCATGCCTGGATGTATTTTCTGCATAAAACTTACAGTAAAGACAGCTCAGGACTGCACTTGGGGTTCGAATCCCCAGTGTAGTCACCGGCTGACTAAAAAAAAAATTAAAAAAAAAATATATAGAGAGAGAGGCTTTCTTTTGGCATTTTTTCTGTGTCTGAATGATCTTCTGTGGTGAGACATTGTCACAACAAAGGCAACAAAGGAGGAGAGTAGAGGAGGAGGAGGAGCAAGAGGAGGATGAGGAGGAGGAGGAATAGGAAGGGAAAGAGGGAGAAGAGGACTAGACTATGAAGACATAGAGAAGAGAGATTGATTAGACTCCAGGCCTGCTTGCCTAAATCATATGAAACTGGCCAGTGGTTTAGTTACTCAGAAATCCTCATCTCCTGGGTGAGTGGCTCCTGGAGCTACATCAGCTTTTGGCAGTTGCCCACCTAATCCCCAGCCCGACCCTACAGTCCCACCAGAAGCAACCTGGCACCTTCTTTCAGGAGCAGCATGTCCACCACAGCCTTCTCTCCCCTCCTCTGGGTGCCTTTGTCCCTGACCTGGAGAAGGCTGTGGGGGCTGAGTTGGGCTGAGTCAGCCAGTATCTCCCAAGTCCAGCTCCCTTCTTGCTGCCTGGGAAGAGGGCCAAGATATGGGAGGTGGAGCCAACCATTTTTAAAGGAGAAGAGCTTCAGAGTCATGAAGCACTGGATTCTTAGAACTTGGACACTCCCCTAATGAGAGGCAAGAATGGGGGTGTTGGGGCTGGAAAGATGACTCAGAAGTTAAGAGCACTGACTGCTCTTTAAAGGACCCAGGTTCGGTTCCCAGCCCACATGGTGGCTAACAATCATTCTTAATTCCAGTTCCAGGAAATCTGGCATCCTCTTCTGGCCTCTGTGAGCACTGCATATATGTGGTGCACTTATATACATGCAAGCAAAACACATATACATTCATTAAATGAAAAAAAAAACTTTTTAAAAAGAATGGGGAAGCTGGGCGTGGTGGCACATACCTTTAATCCCAGCACTTGGGAGGCAGAGGCAGGTGGATCTCTGTGAGTTCCAGGCTAACCTGGTCTACACAGTGAGTTTCAAGCCAGCTGGGGCTACAGGGAGACCATGTCTCAAAAAGACCAAATAATAATAATAATAAGAAGAAGAAGAAGAAGAAGAAGAAGAGGAAGAAGAATAGGGCTGTGGACAAAGGTGACTGAGTTAACTCATATGCACCACCTTCTAAGAACAGGGTGCAGCACATCAAAGCCAGGAGACTAGGATTATGTCAAGCCTAGCCCAGGTTATGTCCTGGAGCCTCTCACAAGGTGGAAGGATGGCATGCACCATTTCTGGGTGCAGAACTAAGAGGCTCTGTGATGCTTCTGGCCACCAGCAGTACAGCCTGTGAGAATTCATGTTCCACCTCCAAGCAGACCAGTATATGGGTAGAAACAAGCAGGAATAAAGTATCCAGCCCTGTCAGGGATTACTCAGGTCAGATTGCGGGGATAAGAACCCAGCTGCCAGAGAACAACTGAGGCTAGCCTGGGCCGGGGGAGGAAGGAGGGGGGCACATGTGAGGTGAGGCTAAGAGCTCTGAGCAGTCCAGGAAGGGTAGGGCAGAGCTAGGGAACACTGAATAAGTCCTCTTTCTGCCTCATCTTTTTCCTACTGTGGGAATGACCAGGCTTCCATCTGGGAAAGGAGCTGTCCATTGAGTGCATTAGAAGAGAAAGGAAATCCAAAAAGAGGAAATGAAGGAGGGCTGGCAATTATTACCAGAACTGCTGTGAGAAAGTACTCGATACAAAGAGTATAAGTTAAGTACTACTGTGTGTGGAGGGGCTGGTTCTTCACCATAAAATGTGTTTACTATGTGTTGGGTGATTGTAGTATAAAATCTTGGTTGTCAACTTGATTAGATATGGAATCAACTAAAAGATGTCTCTGGGTAGGTCTGTGAGGGTGTTTTTTGAAAGGATTACTGGAAAGGAAGACCCTTCCTTAGAGTGGAAAGCATCTTCTGACTGTGGCCCGGATACAAAGAGGTCTGAAGGAAAAGCAATTGCTTTTACTGCCCACCTTCACTCTTGCTGGTAAGCGCATCAACCCTATACCTGCTATCTTCTGCAGACATCATAATCCAGTTCTTCAGCCTTCCAGGGTGGATTGAAAACCAACAGTTCTCTAGGACTCTTCAAGGCCTTCAGTGCCAATTTGGGACTTCTGAGGCATCCAGCTTCATGGACTGAGCAGTTGCCAGGTTCTCAACCTCTCTACTATATAGCCTTTGTTGGACTACCCTGGCTGAATTTTGTGAGCCCTTAGTAACTGTATTAGTTACCTTTTGTTGCTGTGATAAAACACAATGACCAAAAGTGACTTACAGAAGAATGAATTTATTTTGGCTTATGGTTCCAGAGGGAGAGGCCATAATAGTGGAGGAGACATGACAGCAGGCAGCTGGATCAGGAAACTGAGAGCTCACATCTTCAAATGTAAAAGCAAAGCAGAGAGCAAACTAGAAGTGGAGAGAAGCTATGAACTCTCAAAGCCCACCCCCAGTGACATACTCCTCCAGCAAGGCTGTATATCCCCCAAACAGTGCCACCAACTGGAGACCAAATGTTCAAATACCTGATCCTATGGAGGAAATTTCTCATTCAAACCACACAGCAATATACTTTCATTCTATTGGTTCTGTTCCTCTAGAGACTCCTGACTAATACGGCACTCTACACAAACTGTGTCTGCTTTCTGAGGTGTTTACTCTCATCACAAGAACCAAGCTTTCCTACCATACTCTCCTCATTTGTCTGGTTCAGAGTTTTGGGTGCCACATGGAGAGACCCAAGCGATGACATTCAAAGAAGAGAAAATGCCCATTTAACAGAAGAGCAAACTGCTGCTCAGAGAGGGCAAGCCTCTAGCCCAGATCACATGATCCCCTTGGACCACCCTGGGTCCTGTCCAAAATTGCTCTGTGATTGGGTTCAGGGACAGAGGGCTCAAAAAGTCAGACTCCTGGCAGAATAGCTATGCAGGAAATGGGAGGGGGTGTCATGCCCCTGATACTAGTAGGGTGTTAGAGAACCCTACCCTCCCTATACCAATCTCACTGCCACCCTCAGTTCAGTCAACAAGTACCTCAGTCCACTGGCCCTAGAGTCCTCAGGATGGTATGTGAGCACCCCAGAATCCCCACCATAGTCACTCACATGCACCCACACTAAACTCATGGACACAAGTCTCCTTAAGGCCTCTGTTTCCAAGTTCTCCTGTGGAGAGAGCCTCCTCCAAGCTCAGGATACCAATAAGCCCCACAACAGCAGGGTAGAGGTAGGCATAGAAGTGTTTGGAAAATTACACAGACATCTATAGCAGAGTGCCAAGGGCCCCCAGACCCCTACTCCCCCACTCTCTATTCCTTTACCATCATCATCCTAGAAAGAATTTTCAAAGCCTCTTCAAGGCAGGGAAATGAGACACATAGGACCCAGATGTAGATTACTCTGTGAAACAGTTTGTTCCATCAGGAAGCAAAGAATGGGGGGTTCTGTGGTTAAGGATGTGCTATTACTTGTACTGTGATGGCAATGATGCCTGGACAGTACATGAAAATCAGTCTATAAGCAGTTATGGTCTATGGATCCACCATGTACTGAGCCTTATTTTTTATGGTCTATGGGCTAAGAACGGTTTTTGAGCTGGGCATGGTGGTACACGCTTTTAATCTCAGCACTCAGGAGGCAGAGGCAGGTGAATCTCTGTGAGTTTGAGACCAACCTGGTCTACATAGTGATTTCCAGGTCAGCTGGGGCTACAGGGAGACCCTGTCTCAAAAAGACCCCCCCCAAAAAAAGAAAGAAAGGAAAAACATTTACTGTAAACCATAAAAAGATGGCACAGGCTTTTAATCCCAGTACTTGTGGGGCAGAGCAGGAAAATCTCTGTGAGTTCCAGGTCAGCCTGGTCTACATAGCAAGCTCTAAGCCAGCTGGGGCTACAGAGAGACCCTGTCTCAAAAAACTAAAAAAAAAAAGAAAAGAAATTACTATACAGATCTTCAAAGAAAACAGTATCACAGCCCACACTATGTTGAGCAATAAATAACTGGAACATATGTCATTCTGAGAATCTTTTTCTAAGTTTATTTATTATTTTAATTTTATGTGTATGAGTGTATCACCTGCAAGTATGTGTGCAACTGTTTTGTGTAATGCCCATGGAGGTCAGAAGAGGGTGTCAGATTCCCCTGGAACTGAAATTACTGACAGTTGTTAGCCACCATGTGAGTGCTGGGAATTGAATCGGGGTCCTCTGAAAAGCAGCCAGTGCTCTTAACCACTGAGCCATCTCTCCAGCCCCTCTGAGAATCATTTTTTTAAAGATATGTATACACAGGGGCTGAAGAGATGGCTCAGCAGTTAAGAACACTGGCTGTTCTTGCAGAAGAACTGGGTTCAAATCCCAGCACCCGCATGGGAGCTGACAACTGTCCGTAACTCCAGTCCCAGGGGATCCAACAGCCTTTTCTGTCCTCCGCAGGCACTCACCTACATGCAGGCAATACACACATACACATAAAATAAAAATAATAAAGTTTCTTAAAATCTCACTTTAAGTCCTGTGAGATGGGTCAGTGAGTAAAGATGCTGCCACCAAGCCTGATGTCTTGAGTTCGATCCCTGGAACCTATCTAGTGGAAGGAGAGAACTAACTCCTGAAAATTGTCTTCTGGCCTAAACACTCGCATACTGTGGCACATGTGTAAACAACCTCCATAAATAAAGTAATTTGAAACAAATAAAATCTTACTTAAGACTTGCTGCTTCCGTTTATGGTAAGTTACGTTCAGTTACATTTTCAGCTGTTTTACAACTCTCAATCCTTAATACTTTTCCAATTTAAAAAAAAAATTATTTATTTATTTTTATTTTTTATGTGTGTGTGTTTTGCCTGCATATATGGTTGTTAGCCACCATATGGGTTTAGGAACCAAATCCAGGTCTTCTGCAAGAGCAGCTAGTGTTCTTAACTGCTGAGCCATCCCTCCCCAGCACCACTTTTCCAGTTCTTTAAGTGAATAAATGACATGAAAAGGCAGTTAAAAAACAAAACCACAGGGTTGGAGAGATGGCTCAGGGGGTTAAGAACACTTGTTGTTCTTCCAGAGGACAGGGGTTCAATTCCCAGCACCCACATGGTGGCTAACAACTGCTCATAACTCCAGTTCCAGGGGATCCAACACCCTCTTCTGGCCTGTGTGGGGCAATGCATGCAGTGCACTTATAAACATGCAGGCAAAACACTCATACACATTAAAATAAAAATAATAAATAAAAATTTGATACTGGAGAGATGGCACAGAAGTTAAGAGCATTGGCTGCTCTTGCAGAGGACCTGGGGTAGATTCCCAGCATCCACATGGTAGTCACCATATGTAACTCCAGTTCCAGGGGATCTGATGCCCTCTTCTGACCTCCACAAGCATTGCATACATGCAGGCAATACATTCATATACATAAAATAAAAAAAAATAATAATAATAACCACACACAAAAATAAACAGATGAGACCTGAAGAACAGCTTTACTCTGAAGCCATTTCAAATCAGGAAATGTGAAATTCCATTTTAATTCATTTTTCTGAGACAAGGTTGCATTTATCCCAGGCTGGCTTGGAACTTTGTTAGCAGAGGATGAACTTGAATTTTGGATCCTTCTGCCTCCATTTCCCAAGTACTGGAATTACAGGCTTGTGCCACCTGACCCAGTTTATGTGGCACCAAGAATCGAACCTAGGGCTTTATGAATGTTAAGCAAACTCTTTACCAACTGTGCTCCAACCCTAGCCCCTGCCATTTTTTATTTATTTATTTATTTATTTATTTATTTATTTATTTATTTATTTATTTACTTATTTATTTGAGACAGGGTCTCACTGTGTAGCCCAGGTTGGTCTCAACCTTTCTGTGCAGCCCAGGTTGGTTTCCAACTCATGATCCCCCATCCCTACCTCAAGCATCCCAAGACTGTGAGTTAGGTGTGGGTCACCATGCCCAACTGAAACCTTGTTTTAATGATCTTATGATGGGAGGGGGAAAAATCAAAGCCCAGACGTGATTAAGAAGGGAAATTTGTTCGACCTTCCCGTAGTAAGTGGGAACCTCAGTGGACATCGCTGAAGGAGCGAGAAAACTAAGAGGAGGAGCCTGCAAGTGTGATTTCATTCTAAGATTAAACGACCTTAGTGACGTGGAGCATTACAACAAGCTTTGAGCATCATTTAATGCCATCCTCAAGGGCTCCAAGACTCCTCTCTCCTTAGAAACTGTCTTCTTTAAAATCTACAAATATCCCTTCAGGTATGACAGGCCAGACCTAGGGTGGCTGTCCACTCCTGTAACTGCAGCACTAGGAAGGCAGAAGCGCGATGATCCCTACGAGTCTGATTTAAAAGCAATGTTGGAAACGAAGTGCAATTAAGGGTTTCTCTCAATGACACAGGGCCTCAAACCTCCCTGAAACCTGCTCCCTCTCCTACTGGACTCAAACACCTAGGGCAGTTATGGCAAGGTCAAGTCTGTGCGTGAGCTTGGGACAACTCAGCCTGGAGGCTCTGTGGTCACCCAGGAGGTAGTGAGTATGTTAGAAACAAAGGCCCTGTGATAGCTGTTTGTTCTGGGATCCACAGGTGGATGGGGCTCAGGCGGTCCAGGCCGGGTGTGGGGGTCACTGCGCGCCCCGGCTCAGCCGCTCCACCCGCAGCCACAGCCCGCCCTCCGCGCGCAGGATCAGCTCCAGCTTTCTACGCGGCTCCACGTCATCCGGCAGGACGCGGAAGCGCAGCAGCGTCAGCGCCAGCGCCACCTTCATCTCGCTCATGGCGAACGTCTGTCCAATGCAGTTCCTGCAGGAGGACCGGGCTGGGGACTCTGACTTTGCGGGACCCAGCCAGGCCATCGGGCCGAACCCGCCCAGGTCCCCGCCGGGGCTGGTGCCCTGAGGGTCCGCGAGGGGCTGACGTGCCTGGGACCCCGCGTGGGCGTCCGCGTCACCGAGCCCGGCACAACCTCAGCACCCAACTCAGACCCAGGAGGGACTCAGCACAGGGCGCCGCCCTTGACCTTCCAACCCCGGTCTCCAAACCTGTGCACAGAACCTGCGCAGAGGGCGGAAGGAGACCCGGAACCCCGACCATCCCATCTCCCTGCTGTCCTCGCCGTCAGCCCCAGACTCCGAGTCACCTCAAGCTCTCTGATCTCACCTGGGTCTGGCGGAGAAGGGAATAAAAGCTAGAGGCGACCTCTTCTGAGCGTTTTCTGGGTCAAAGCGGAAAGGGTCATAGACCTGGGGGAGAAGCAAAACTAGGCTGCTGTGTTGGATTTCTCAGAACACTACTCAGCACACACCTCAGCCCCAGAAAAGACAGATGTGGAGACAGGTGTGAGTATCTGGTTTCCAGGGTTAGGGCTATGCCCTCTCCCCAGACCTCAGCATTTTGGGGGGGGGCTCACCTCAGGGTCCTCCCAGACTGACGGGTTGTGATGAACCCCAAAGATGCTGATGACACAGATGTTCTCTGTTGGGTAGGCGGTACAGTCAGGATGAGGTCCGCACTGCCCCTGGGGATCACTCTACCCAGAACCCTCCTCCCACTGACACTGAGGGCACCTTTGGGGATGATCCGGCCGTCAGGCAGCACAATGTCCTGGGTGCAACGGCGGGAAATCATTGTTACTGGGGGATGCAGCTTCAGACTCTCCTTGATGCACATGGTCAGGAAGGGCAGCTGAGCCAGGTCATCCCTGAGGAAACCTCCAAACAATTATCCACAGAGCAAAACCAGCCTTACTGCCATCCTGTGAGATGTTAACCACAGTGCTCTTCTCCTTAGTTACGCAACAAAATGCATTCCAAATGAATCAATCATTTTGTTTGGCTTTAGTTTTTTAAAAATATCGTTTAAATTATTTCTATTTTATGTGTATGAGTGAATTGCCTGCGTGTATGTAAGTACACCTATGTTGTGCAATGCTGGAGAAGGTCAGAAGAAAGCATTGGATTTCCTTGGAACTGGAGTTACAGACAGTAGTTAGCCGCCATGTGGGTGCTGGGAATCAAACCTGGGTCCTCTGCAAGAGCAGCCAGTGCTCTTAACTGCTGAGCCATCTCTCCAACCCCTAGTTTTGGTTCTGTTTGAGACAGGCTCTCATGTACTCCAGGTTGGCTTTGACCTAGCTGTGTAACTAAGAATGATCTTCAACTCTCTATTCTCCTTCTGCCTTCTTCCAAGTGCTGGGATTAGAGACATGTTAGTAGAGAGCCCAACTTAGCAAGTAGTAAAGAAGATTTACATATTCCTGTTTAGGGAGCCCAGACAGGTACATGAATACATGAAAACTCAGCATATGATAAAATAAAGATTTACATATTCCTGTTTGGTAGGTGTTCAGACAACCAACAACTAGTAAACAAAAAGAATTAAATGTAGCTGTGTGTGGTGGCATATATGCTTGCCATCCCACTCCTGAGGGCCAGAAGTTCAAGGCCATCCTGGGTTACACAGTGAACTGGAGGCCACCCTGGGTTTAATGAGATCCTTTTGAAAAGGAGCCGGGGAGGGGGTGGGGAGGACAGGGGGTTAGGCAAGATATTCAAAGTCTGGAGTTTTCAGAGAAATGAAAAATTTTCAGCATCTATTCCAGGCACAGATTAACAAGGTAAGGAGAGCCAGGGGGTAGCTGAAGCATGAGATAGAGGGCCTCATGTACTGACAGTGGGAGTACAGTCCTGTGCAGCAGAGAGATGGAAGCCTGGAGACCCAACACTAAGGTACTATAAAGGAAAATCTACACCCAGTGAGCAGCAATAAGCTTGGGCTGGGAATGGAGCACTTGCCTAGTGTGCAAAGGCCCTAGGTGCCATCCCCAGACCTGAGAAAGGCAAAAGCAGTAAAGCAGTAAACTAAACATTCTTAGGACCATAGGTGGCTAATAAAACCACAATGCTACATTCTTGAGAAAGAGAACAAGATCTATGATACAACATCATAATTGTGAAGTTCAAAATACATCTATCCAGAAATTGAGGAGCATAATTAATTCAACCCTTGGAACCCAAGGCCTAAAAATCAAACATTTCAAAGCTAGGTGTATGGCTCAGTGATACAGTGCTTGATTAGCATGCCTGGGTCCTGAGTTCCATCCCAAACACACCACACACACAAACACACACACATATACACACCACACATACTACACGTACATACACCAGACATCCATCACACACACCACATACACGCACACACACACATATATATATATATATACACACACATACAAACCGTACCATGCATAGCACACAAACATGCACACACATACACATACCACACACATATACCACACACACACTAGACACACACATACCACACGTACTACACGTACATACACCAGACATCTACCACACATACACCACATACACACACACATATATATACACATACACACAAACACACACATACAAACCATACCATGCATAGCACACAAACATGCACACACATATACACATACCACACACATATACCACACATACACACTAGATACACCACCTACACACAACACACAGAAACACTACGTAACCCCCCACAAAGGCATAAGTAGTTTTTCAAACTAAAATGATTATAGAGTTCAAATGGAAAAATAAGAACCCAAGAAAAAAAAACTACAAAGCAAAATAATGAGACAGGACCAACTTCATCAAGCACGAATTTTTCCTTTTTTGAGTGTTAGGGACTAAACCCAGGGCCTTGGCCATCCTGGGCAAGCACTCTAATGCTGAGCTACAGCTCCATCCCAATACACACACACACACACACACACACACACACACACACACACACATCTTTTTGAGACAGGAACTTGCTATGTAGACCAGGCTAGCCTCAAACTCAGAGATCCGCCTGCCTCTGACTCCCAAGTGCTGGGATTAAAGGCATGCCCCACCACCCCTGGCTTAAAAAAAAAAGGAGCTCAAATATTTTTTTAAAGTATGATAATCAAAACTCTTTAAAGCTTATGTATGAATATATAAGTATATGGCACAGAATAGAGGCCAGAAATACAGAAAAATTAGATTATGAGACTACTATTTTAAATCATAAGCAAATATAAAATGTGCACTACATTATGCTGAGATAGTCATTTGTAGAAAAATTAATTTCTACCTTAGTACTTATGCCAACACATGTTTCATAGAGGAAAAGAGTCAAATATTAAAAATGCTAATATAGCTGGGCATGGTGGGAAACACCTTTGATCCCAGCACTTGGAAGGCAGAGGCAGGCAGATCTCTGTGATTTCAAGGCCAGCCTGGTCTCCATCATGAATCCAGGCCAGCTGGGGCTACAGGGAGACCCTGTCTGAAAAAGACCGCCCCCAAATGCTAATATAGTAATAAATATAGCATTAAAAAACAGCAGGATGCAGGAGAAGTGAATCAGAAGTTAAGAGCATTTGCTTCATAATCATGAGGATTGAAATTCAGATCCCAATACCCACATAATAATCTGGGCATTGGACACATGCCTGTAACCCCTGTTCCAAGGAGAACAGAGACAGGAGGCTCACCCAGGCTTGCTAGCTTCCAGACTAGCTGAGAAAACACAGGAGCCCCAGGTTCAGGAACAGATCCTGCCTCAAAGGAGTAAGAGAAAGATACCAACACCTTCTGGTCTCTAGGGCATGTGCCCTCATACACACACGTGCACCTACACTCACACAGATACACATACATGCATAAATAAACTTTAAAAAATATAACAATCCCAAAATTAAATCCAATGAATGAAGACAAATGGGAGTTTCACATTTTAGTATTAGAGTGTGAAAAACTATAGTAAATGTGAATTTTAAAAAACCAAACATTAGCTGGGCGTGGTGGCGCATGCCTTTAATCCCAGCTCTTGAGAGGCAGAGGCAAGTGGATCTTTGTGAGTTCGAGGACAGCCTGGTCTACATAGTGAGTTCCAGGACAGCTGCGGCTGCGGGGAGACCCTGTCTCAAAAAAAAAAAAAAGACAAAAAAACAAACAAACAAACATGGAGAGATGACTCAAGCTGGAGAGATGACTCAATTAAGAGCTCTAGCTGCTGTTTCAAAGAGACCCAGGGTTCAGTTCCCAGCATCTACATGATAGCTAACAACCATCTGAAACTCCAGTTCCAGGAGATCTGACACCTTCTTCTGGCTTCTATGGGCATTGAATGACACAGGTGTACTTATATAAATACAGGCAAAACACTCAGGCATACAAATTAAAAATAAATAAAAAATTAAAGTATAAAAGAGAGTTAATAAATCCTACAAATAGGTAAACCAAACCAAAATATTTAAACAAGTTCCAAAATAAAGTCAAAGAACTTGGGAAAAGCATGACACACAAAAATTACTAACTCTTTTTTGGGGGAGGGAGTGTTTTGAGACAAGGTTCTCATGTAGACCAGGTTGGCCTTGAACTTACTATATAGCCAATTATGACCTTGAATTTCTGATCCTTCTGCGTCCAACTTCCAAGAAGAGAGATCATAGGCATGTGTCACTATACCTGGCTTAAAACAACTAGTTTTAGGAGCTGGAGAGATGGCTCGACAGTTAAGAGTACTGACTGATCTTGCAGAGGACCCAGGTTCGAGTCTCAGCACCCACATGGTGGCTATGGACTGTCCTTAACTCCAGTTCCAGGGGAATCCGAAGCCCTCTTCTGATCTCCGAGGCACTGCATGACACGGGTGTGCTCACATACATGCAGGAAGTATACTCACCCATACACATAAAATAAAAATAAAATAAAATAATTTTAATATATAATGAGTTCTTGTGGCTGGGGGGATGGCTCAGTGAATAAAGCATTTAGCATTCAGACATGAAGACTGGGCTTCAGCTCCCCAACATCCACATAAAACTGGGAGAGTATGGCAGATCCAGAGGAGGGACAGGAGATCACCAGGGCAGGCTGGCTAGTTAGATCAGCCACATGAGCAAGCTCCAGGTTCAGTGGGTGGCCCTGCCTCAGTGAATACAGTGGAGAGAGCAATCAAGAAGACATCTGACATCGTGTGACCTCCACACATATTTGCATATACATTCACGCACACCCCCACACATGTACATCTACACACGTGCAATCACACATACAAACATACCACACAAACACACACACACACACACGTATACACACTAAAAAAATTAAAAGTTCTCAAACTGAAGAGAATGGTCGGTGGTGAAGAGCACCTGCTGTTCCTCCAGAAGACCTGAATTCCACACCCATGACAGACAGCTCAATGACACCAGTAAAGTTCTAGGAGATCCAATGCCTTGGACCTCACGTTTGGAAAATGCTGTCAAAGAAAGGTCTGGATAGGCATATGACAAAGTGAAGGCTCTAGAGACCTCTCAGGAGGTATAAGAAGGCATGGGGATGCTGCTGAGCTACAAGGTGGGCCAGTCTCTACCTGCCTCCAGCTGTAGCTCTTCAGGCTCTCTACAGCATTCCAGTTGCAGTCATACTCCCCAGGGAGATCTCTAGCCAGAAACAAAGCATGTGACCCATAAGTGCCTGACCATTTCTGCCCAGGGTCTGACTGTCCTAATGACAGCATCCCATACATTTTTGTATGTTTGTAGAGACAAGATCTCACTCTGTAGGCCAGGTTGCCTGGAACACAATATAATCTTCCTGAAGCAGCCTCTCAGGTGCTGGGATCACAGGCTAAGCCACCACGCCTGGCTTTCCCACCCACTTTTACCTTTGATCTAACATTAGCTTCCAAAGGTCTTGAACTGATACACCTTTGGTTAAAGGTCAAACTCTTAACAGTTTCAAAACACTGCTAACAATGCTACAATTCCAAGCTCCCCCCTCACTGAGAGCCTCCTTGGTCCTCACATCGTGCATTTCACAGGCATCCGGGAACCATAACTCCCTGTGACCCCCAAGCACGCCAAACTGTCCCATGCTTCCTTCTTGGCTTTGTGAAACTGTCCCCTTGAGCTGAAGCACTTCTGACACCCTCTTGCACTGTGCTGTCAACCTGCATGGATTCCTTTTCTTTCTGCCTCAGCTTTGATCAAGTAGGATTAGCTGCTCTGAAGGCTAAAGCAGGAGGGGCACTGGAACTCAATTCACCGTCAACCTGCCCAGTATAGCAAGACTCCATAACAAGCTGATTAACTTTAAAATGGAACGAGATGAGTGTGGTGACATGCTCCTATAATCCCAGCACCAAGGAGGGGCAGGCATGAGAATTCAAAGTTTGAGACCAGCCTGGCCTACCTAAAGACACCAATACTCAAAAATCATGACACTTTTCATTTTGAGACAGGGTCTCACTATGTTGTCCAGGCTGGACCGAGTTGTGAAAGGTTAGGCACTGTGGACCTGTTCCCTGAATGAAGAGATAGATGTTTTCACCCACTGAGATCTCTGTGCAACCCTGGCATAGACAGGTAGGTATGAATTAAAGAAAAGAGTAAAAATGAAGGGGCGTGAAGGTCTTGGGGAGAGGAAATGTAAGTTTAAGCAAAAAAGCAAACCAGGGAGGGAAGTTTGTTGAAGGTGCACTGGGTGACATCTGCTCTCCTCTTACTGTCACTAATTTTCCAAGTAGCCCTATAGACTAGATTGCCCTCAGTCTACAGAGGAGAAGAGATTCCAAAAGACTGTTGATTTTGCTAATGTTGCCTAGCAAGTTAGACAATAAATGTAGAGTTTGAGATTTTCCTGTTCTACAGCATACACTCTTTCCCTTGCTAGCCGGTCGGGAAGCAGGCCCTGACCTGAGCTCAGCTCTTATGCATGCCAAGCAATAATGGAAGAATGAGCAGAAAGAGCACCTCTTTGTCACCTGGGAGCAGAGCCAAAGAGTAGGGCTCCAGAGCACACCTCAGGGGCCAGCGTACTCACCATTCAATCTCCTCAAGCTCACGATCCCTCAGGAGCTCCTGCACCTCCTGCCGACAGCGCTCCTGGTATTCCGGATGTCTTGCCAGGTTGTACAGGATCTAGGAGAGCCCACTGGCTGTGGTGTCATGTCCTGAGAGACAGACAGACAGGCTTGTGTCTGGGCTGCTTCAGCACCACAGCATGGAAGTGCCTAGACAATGAGGACCCCCAGGAAAGGATGGGGAAGCAGTGGAGGAAAGGAATGGAGGGATCCTGTGTAACCCCCATCATGTGTCTTTGTGATTGACAGACCCTGCCCCTTCTATAGCTGTACACAGGGACCTTCACCTCCAAACATGAAGGTGTCAGCCTCTGCACGGATGTCCTCGTCTGACAGTTCCTTTCCATGTTCATCCTGAAGAGAAAACAAGAACCCTGTACTCATGCCATGTCTGAGGGCTCCTGAGTCTGACCTGAGACAGGCTCTGATATCCACTGTGCACACAGGCTCTTCCCCGACCTTGTCCTCTCCAGAATCAGCTCCACAGTCTCCTCCTTGGTTTCCTGCTATGGTTTGCTCCCTCCATGCAGCCTTCAAGAGAGTCACCTCTAAAACCTCTTTGTCCTGTCTCTAGCTTTTAGAAGCATCGTCTAGGCTTGTAAAATCTTAGTACCCTCTTGACCAAGTCCAACTTCCATCTAACAATGAGCATCAAGTTTTCTGTGACTGAGATCCCAGAGGAGCCCACCTTGGCCAGCAAAAGCACGTCAATGAAGTCTAAAGTCTTAGACTTGGCCTTGGTCTGGAGGAATTCATCAACACCCTGGCTAGCAAGAGTATGGCGCCTCTGCTTGATAAGAACATCTGTGAAGTTGTGCACCAGGTCGCAGGCCTTTCGGAAGCACCACCCATCAGGAGTGAGGTAGTACAGGAAGTCCATGTACAGGAAGACCTGGTGGTGCCTTTTCACTACGAGGGCGCTGAGTTCCAAGATGGCAGCTATGTATTCACTGCAGGTCAGAGAGAAAACCACAGTCACAGGAGACCCCAGAGTACCTCCAGTCAGTCGCAGGACCAAGATCCATCCAGGAAAAAGGCGCCTTCCAAAATGGAGACTTCTCTCTGCCTCTCACTTTCCATGAGCCCTCATGCCCTTGTGTAACACAAATTATAGTAGTAAATTGTAGTAGTAAGCTTATAGGTTGGCTCTAGAAGCAGGGTTGCTCCCCTATTTCAGACCTAAGCTTGTCTGTCTTAAAGTGTCCCTAAAGCCCTCTAATTGTGGATGTGCTGGCTCCCTGGCCATGTAACAAGAAGAAAGGTGAACAGGAAAATAGGCCAGAAGTAAAACTATGCCCTTGAGAGCTTGTGTGGAGGTTCTAGCAAAGATAGTCTCTCCTCTCTCAGAAAAAGTCATCCTTTTTGATCAACTATGTAGCTTCAGAAGGGATAGACTTGGAGCAGTGAGGGAGGAAAGGGATATCTGCCTAGCTAGCCAGAATAGCTGGGTCAACCCTGTTGATAAATCAGATGACGGATGTCAAAGCCAGATTCCCCCTCATATCCAACATTGAACCCTTGACAACAGCTGGAATGAAAATCATTCCCTGGTTGTCTGGCACCTTCCTAAAGTTGAAGACTTACTTACCTTTACAAAATCGTGTTTGACCTTTATTACATTGTGCGTGTGTGTGCGTGCGTGCGTGCGTGCGTGTGTGTGTGTGTGTGTGTGTGTGTGTGCGTGTGTACAGGAGCTACTATGGGCCTGGGGGTTTTAGAGGACATGTGGGACTCAGTTCTCTCCTTTCACCTTGGTTGACTCAGGATCAGTGGGTTTTACCTTCTGAACCATCTTGCTTGGTAACTTCTCTCCCATAATGTAAGAACGCCTGTGAGGTTAAGGTTAACTGGAATCTCACCTGTGGGGAAGGCGTTTAGCCCAGGATCCTCTTTTTTTCCATCAAGGTCTCCAGTTAACTATTTTCACAGAGCTTCTTCAGTTATTTCTCTGAGAAGATGTAAGTGCCTGATCTGCTGCTACTTTGTTCTTGTGCTTTTGCTTGCTAAATACTAAATAAACTCAATTGCCCAAACTGAAAACATGGCTGACCTAGATCACCATCCACAGTGAATACCTGGGATTTAAGGACAGAAACTTATACCTTTCCCATTTCTCTTTCAGTCAATATCTTCTACAGCTGTTCTTTCTCCACTTCCTGCAAATCTGCTCCATTTTCTCCACCAAACTTGGGACTTCTCGCCAATTCTCCTTGCATCCTGATCTATCTGACTGCCTGTTCTCTAAAGAGTGGGTTATCCAACCTCAGCTGTCACTCTGACATCTATCAACCCCAAACCTTGCGTGGTTCCCTGGGAACACACAATGGAGTTCATACCCCGTGGCTGGGCATAAAAGAGCATTAAGATGTGGACACTGTGGCTCAAGTCTGTAACCCCAATGCTCAGGAGAAAGAGGTAGGAGGATCACAAGTTCAAGTCCAGCTTGAACTACCTACGTAGTTCCAAGCCAACCTGAGCTATATAATTAATCCTGTCTCAAAATGAAAAGTTTCAGGTGCTAGAAGGATAGTTGAGTGGTTAAAAACACTGGCTGCTCTTACAGAAGACCTATGTTTGTTTCTCAGCAACAACTGTCCATAACTCCAGTTCCATGGGCTCCAAAACCCTCTTCTACCTTCTGCAGGCATTGCATACACAAGTGCACTTAAATTAAACATGCAGGCAAAACAGTCATATACATAAAATAAAAACAAATTTTTTTAAATTTTTCTTAATGAAAAGTTTGGTGATTTCTTTAAGTAAGTGTCTATATTTATCCCAGGATGACCTCAAATTATAAAAGAGGATCTTGTGCTGGATAGCTTTAGTGTCAATTTGACACACCTGGGTTGAGGGAACCTCAGCTGGAGAATTGCCTCTATTGGACTGGCCTGTGGCCATGTCTGAAGGGCATATTCTTGATGAGTGATGTGGGAGGGCCCAGCCCACTGTGGATGGTGCCACCCCTGGGCAGGTGGACCTGTGTTGCCTAAGAAAGCAGGTTGAGCAGGGGCCAGGGGAGCAAGCCAGTAAGCATGGTTCCTCCATGGCCTGTGCTCCAGCTCCTGCCTCCAGGTTCCTGCCCTGAGTTCCTACCCTGGGCTCCCTGATGAGCTACAACCTGGGTGATGTAAGCTGAATAAACCCTTTCCTCCCCAAGTTGGTATTGGTCAGAGTGTTTTGTCACAGCAATGAAGAACAAACTAGGACAGATTGGTACCAAGAGTGGGGTATTGCTATGACAGACCTGACCTTTGTGATTTTGGAGGACTGTGGAAGTGTTTGGAACTTTGGGTCAGAAAAGCCATTGCTCAGAGTTTGTTGCTGTGGAGCTTGGAACAGTTATGCTGAAAGAGTTGTAGACGATGGAGGCCTGGCTTGTGAAGCTTCAAAGGGAAGAGGAGACCATCAGGGCTGTTCCTGTGAGATTTTGGATTGAGAATCTGTGGGTTCTGGTTGGCTGGGGCTGAAGAATCAGCTGTGATTAAGAAGAGACCAGAACCTGAAGCAAAACCTTTGCTTTACTGGGACAATTGATGCTGGTTAGCTGGGGCTGAAAAATCAGCTCTAAGTAACAAGAGACCAGCATCACTGAGGTGGAGTCTTCTGGGAGGTATTTCCTCAGGGTCAGCACACAGAGGGGACCCGCACCTCTATTTCAAGCTGGAAGCAGGACTTGGTAATGTGTAAGAGTCTCTTGCATGGTTCTGCTGTTGAAAGCGTGAAGGGGTCACAGAGAGCAGTTGAGGCTTGGCACTCTGAGAGGTCAGGAAAGGCCATAGGTGAAAGTGCAGCTTCAGTTGCAGTGAAGACCCCAGGATTGAAGGGGTTATGGAGAGAATCTGAGGCTTTGCACCCCAAGAGGCAAGAAGAGGCCATTGGTGAAGGTGTAGCCTCAGTTTCAGTGGCAACCCCAGCGTTTTGGAGATGCCGGGACCATGGGACGACCACCAAGGACAGCGGCAGGTGTGGAATGGAGCTGGCCTGGGTCTGCGAGATGAGCTGTGTGTGCTGTGGACTGCAGAGTCAGAGCAGTGGAGCTGCCAGTACCCTTTGGAGCCAGAAGATCGTGAGTGAATCCCAGGTGTCCAGCCTTGAGCTACTTTGCTGGACTTTGGTTTTGCTTAGGTGTGCCCGATTCTTCCCTTTGAAATAAGACAGTACTTGTTTTGGATTTTACAGAAGCCCACCCACAGTTGAGACTTTTAAAAGAGACTATGGAATTTTAAATGTTTGGATTTTTTTTAAGGACTGTGGGGTTTTTAAGGTTGTACTGTCTTATGTTGTGATATTAATGTTAACATCATAGCTTGGAGACAAGAATTGGAAAGCTTAAGGTTTAATAGTGATGTGTTTGTGTGTCAAGTTGACAAGGGGTCAATTGTGCTGGATAGCTTTAGTGTCAACTTGACACACCTGGGTTGAGGGAGCCTCAGGTGGGGAATTGCCTCTATTGGACTGGCCTGTGGTCATGTCTGAAGGGCATATTCTTGATAAGTGATGTGGGAGGGCCCAGCCCACTGTGGATGGTGCCACCCCTAGGCAGGTGGACCTGTGTTGCATAAGAAAGCAGGCTGAGCAGGGGCCAAGGGAGCAAGCCAGTAAGCAGCATTCTTCCATGGCCTGTGCTCCAGCTCCTGCCTCCAGGTTCCTGCCCTGAGTTCCTACCTTGGGCTCCCTGAGGAACTGCGACCTGGGAGTTGTAAGCTGAATAAACCCTTTCCTCCCCAAGTTGGTAATGGTCAGAGTATTTTGTCACAGCAATGAAGAACAAACTAGGACAGATCTGCTCATTGTCTAACCCTCTGTGATAGTCAATGTTGATAAGCTTCTACATTAGATTGAGACACACCTAGAAGACTAGTGAAGCACATTTTCATGTGTGTCTGTGAGGATATTTCCAGAGAGGATTAACCAAGGAGGTAAAAACCTGCCCTGAATATGGCTGGGGGCCAAGATGGATAACAGGAAAAAAAGAAGGTTGTAAGCACAAGCAATCTTTCTATTTCTTGGCCATCTTGACTTGAACTGTTCTGCCACACCCTTACCCACAGTGAAGGTCCAAAACCTCTGAAACCAGGAGCCAAAATAAGTCTTTCCTCCCTTAAGTTGTTTTGCTCAGGCTTTTGTCACAGTGACAAAAACTCTCACATATCCTCCAACTTCATTTCCTGTTGCACACACTGCTCATCCATCCCTCTTTGTCTTTATCCAAACAATTCCACCTCCCTGGAAGGACCATTCTCTCTCTGCTTTCCCTGTCCTTCAGTGGCAGTTCTGACCTACCTCCCACAGGAATCCACTTCTGTTACCTCTGGCCAATTCTCCCTTCACTACCTCCTTCCCAGGTTCATGGCTCAGATCTGAAGGTGAGGCAGAGAAGGAAGGATGACAGACAGACTCACTGCTGGCAGTTGCTGTCGAAGCTGAAGACACATTTCTGCAGACTGTCCAAGGTCATGAGGCTGATGTGCTCAAACATGTCCAGACGGGCGCTGCCCTTGGAGGTCAGGCGCTGCCACTTGGTCTGATCAGAGAATGGGGCAGGCAGGGCTGGTCTTTGGTTCCTCCAAACACCAATACACGTGCACACCCCCCACATGCGGTGGTGGGGGGAGAGACAGAGAGAGAGAAAGAGAGAGAGAGAGAGAGAGAGAGAGAGAGAGAGAGAGAGAGAAACAACTTCCTGATCCACTGCTCCAGGCACCTGACTCTAGGGAAAACCAGATTTAGGTAAGAGCAAAGGTGTTGCTATAGGAGATGAAAATGAAAGGCTGAGAGACAGAAACCCTGAGTTCAAGTCTACCTTCTGTGTGTCTTTAGTCACATAGCAACTAGGCCCTAGGTCCCATTTGTCAAGTCTTTAGTAATAATAAAGTTGACCTAATCTGTTGCCCCATAAACCATACTTCAATGACTGCTCCACTGCTCTGCTCTCTTACTGCTGGTGAGCTTGGAGAAGAACACTGACCTCTCTAACCCTGGATTCATCGTCCATAAAACAGCAGTCATAGTCATCACTACCTCAGAGCAGTGTGGCGATTTCATCAGACAACAGAGATCACAGGACTGGCACATTGTTTCTGATATGTAGTAGGTACTCAATAAATGTTTGCTATCATTATCATCCTCATTAATATAGTAATAGGTGGCTGCAAAAATCACCGCACACAAATACACACACACACACAAAAGAACTCACATGCATGATGTTCATACTCTGGTTAAAAATCTTCACGTAGGGCTTCAGTGTGTCAAAGTGGAAGGCAGGTGTCAGCAGGTGGTGGTGGTGGCTCCACTTGTCATTAGCACTTAGTAAGAGCCCATCCCCTGCTAGAAAGGCCATGGCAGTGAGCAAAAATGACACCTTCCTCTCACCTCCAAGGGTGTCTCCAGCCCTTTGCCTTGAGGTACTCACCCAGCCAGGGCTTCAAGTAGCCATAGAGAGTCATTTCCTTGGGCACCTCCACAGCTGAATGATGACCATGAGGGGCAGTAGAGAGGGTAAGGAGGAGTTTAACAGGCAGTGGGACTCCCAGCCAGGGCTGTGCACTTCCCCTCCAATCCCAGCAAGACAGGAAAGGAACCAGAGCAAGCAGGGAGATGGGAGAGGCAAAGACACCGAGCAGGTAGAGTGAAACCTGACAGTATACAACATGGCCCAGCACGCCTTTACATGGCTCCCACATGATCCAACATGTCTTCCCTGTCAATCACAGCACAACACTACAGTCCTAGGCCCTCTGTCTACTCTAGGACTCTCCATGGAGTGAAATAGACCTGGGACACATGACAGGGCACATATGTTACATTGATTTTTCTCACTGATTTTTCTTCCCTACCATGGCACCTTATGGCCCATGACTGCCTTACATGATCTACCTGTGCCCTTTAGATATGTATGTAAGGAGATGGAGCTATGGCTCAGTGGTTAAGAGCACCTGCTGCTCTATCAGAAGACCCAGGTTTGAATTGCAGCACCCACATGGCATCTAACAACCATCCATAACTCCAGTTCCAGAGGATTTGAATCCCTCTTCTGTCCTCCACAGGCATTGCATGAGATGGGTGCACTTATATACATGAAAGTATAACACTAATACACATCAAATCAAAGTAAGTTAATTTTTTAAAAGTTAGATATGCCCCTCACAGGTTTAAATATGATTCTATTCATGACCTAGCTGGGGCCTAGATATGTCCCAGACTCCCTGTGATGGTTAGTATTAACTGTCAACTTGACAGAATCTAAAATCATCTGGAAGATAGGCCTCTGGGCATGTCTGTGGGAGACTGTCTAGACTATAATAATTGGGCTGGGAAGAGCTGGGAAAGGAGATCCCAGCTTGGGGTCCTGATCTGTGTAAGTAGTCTAGGGAGCTGAGTAGCAGCACGCATTCATCCTTCTGTTTCTTATTTTACTCTTATATTTATTTTATATGTATGAGTGTTTTGCCTGCATGTATGTAAGTGCACCTGTGTCGTAATACCTATAAAGGCCAGAAGACGGGTTGGATTCCTTGGAAGTGGAGTTATGGATGGTTGTTATCCCCCGTGCTGGTGCTAGGTAAGAATCAAACCCAGGTCCTCTGCAAGAGCAGCCAGTATTAAGTGTTTAGGGCCAAGGGTTCGCTTATCCTCAGAGACTAGAGGATGCTGCCCCCATGTACCCTCCATGAACAGTTGCCATTGCTCCCTCCAGCTGTTCAAGCATATCCAAGGCCAACCAGACACAGCTGACCCAACTTGGCTGCGTTAGATCTTTCCCTGCATTACTCTGCATACCCTCTTCCTCCTAAATCACCTTGCAGTTTGGGGACTCTTCCATCAGATGCAGCTAGAGCAGCAAGTGTCAGTCAACTGTGTGTCTTTCTTATGGTCAGTTTCTTCACCTAGGAAATGGTCATCTTGTAGGGATGCTGATGGATATTTGGTGTGATGTCTGCCTGTCCATCCTCTTTCTCTTAAAAACTGCACCTCACATCTTCCCCAATCTCAATCCCAGGTTGGGGAGGATGGCCAGGCCATGCAGAGCTGAACGTGTGACCTCAAGCCTAAGCAATCAACTCACAGTATTTAAATAAGGAATTTAGGTCTTGTCATCGAAACCTAGCAGCATTAAGAGACTTCAGAACACTACCTGGAACTATAGGGAATTTTCCCTAGGTGCTGAGCTTCTAGAAAGTCACCTTTTGCTCACATGAGGATGATACCATCACAGAGGAAAACAGAACTAAAAGATGAAAATTCCTGGTGGCATTGTTTGAGCCCTGATCCAGCCATACCTAAAGATTACCCTTCTAGACTTTACCCAACCTTAAGGTCCTATCCATGGTAGGTAAGCGCTCTCCCACTGAGCTGCATCCTCCACAAATACATTTCCTTTCTTTACTTAAACCACACTAGGTTGAGCATCCATCACTTATAACTTGAACAAACCTCAGCATCCAGAGAAACCCAGGACCTTGTCCAGTCAGAAGGTGAGTGGCAGAGACACAGCCTCTATTGGATATGGCCCCATCCCCTGCTTAGCCTGGCTTGTCCAGAAGTGGGAGGCCTAGGCTAAAAGGCCAGCAGTTTGGGTTCTGGGAGAGATACCTGAGGCCTGGAGCAGGGGGGCAACAAAGTTAGGGTGGATGAGCCTCAGGATTATGAAGACGGGTCCAACCCACCAGAGGTGGACATCATGGAAGTAGAGGCCCAGTTCAGCCACTTGCTGCATTCCATCCTCATTGCTTTGCATCTGGGGATGAAGAAGGCTGAAGCTGTCAGGGTGTCTCAGATGCTCCCACTCTATTTTCACCACACCCCGGCCCTCTCACCCTCCTGCTTGGATCATTCACCTGTGATTTTTAAAAATATTTTATTTATTATTTTTATTTTATGTGTATGAGTGTTATGCCTGCTCTACATAGTGAGTTTCAGGCCAGCTTCAGCTACAGGGAGACTCTGTCTCAAAAAGACCAAAAGAAAAAAATAATATATGGTTCATGATACATAACATAGGTAGATGACAGAGATATGTGATAGACAAATGACAAAGAGAGGGATAAGATAGGGATACAAGTAGGTATATTTGTATTAATTTTTAATATTAATTTTTATTTTATGTGCATGAGTGTTTGCAGGTATGTATGCATGTGCACCATATGTGTGCAGTGCCCACGGAGGCCAGAAAGACATTGAATCCCCTGGAATTGGAGTTATAGACAGATGTTAGCTGCCACATGGGAGCTGGGATTCAAACCCAGGTCCTCTGAAAGAGTAATCAGTACATTTAACCACTGAGCCATCTCTCCAGCCCTATTATTTTTACTATTACTCAGCCTCTGTTTATCTGTCTCTCCATCTGTAACCCTTACTCTCTCTCCTTCCTTCACCCTCCTCTTTTCTGTGTGTCTATGAAATTTTTTCCCATTTAATCCTATTTTGAATGCTTCCCTCCCTCCCTCTTTCCCACTCAGAATGAATCCACAGCTGTTTCATATTCTCTCCCTCTCTCTCTCTCTCTCTCTCTCTCTCTCTCTCTCTCTCTCTCTCTCCCCAACCCCAGCTCAGCCTCATGCCACTAGCTTTCCCAGATTTCCAGCAAAAAATTATGGTGACACCCCCAATCTTGGTCCAGCTCTGGGAAGATATGAACTTAGACCTTCAGGAACTAATGGCCAGTCTAGGAGCTGTACCGCTGGGTAAGGAGGCAGCTTCAGGAAAGGGAGGAAGGGAAAGAATAGCAGGACCCAATTTGAAAAGGGAGACAGGGAGAGGTGAACAGGGCCCCTATGAAAAAGTCAGGGAGGGAGGATACAGCAGTGGACACAGAGGGGTCTCAGGGAGCTCAAGGGGAGACCAGTAAGGATGTCATCCTGGAACAAAAGCACTTCTGGAAGGATGAGGAAGTCGGTGCAGCAGAGAGGTGTAGGGAGATGGATGACATGGAGCTGGGATTTAGAGACCTAGAAATCACAAGGGTGACAGGGGTGAGGAACAGTCAGGGATATGAGGTAACAAATGAAGATGACCTTGTCCATGAGATGGCAGAACCAGTAGACAGGAGGCTTAACACAGAAGGAGACATATTGGGAGTGGGTGAATGGGAGCTTACATGTCACCTGACTGTCTGGTATCACTGTAGACATCAGAAAATATGGGTGGTTGAGTTCATCAAAGGTCAAGGTTTTCCAAACATCTCTGAAGGACAACCTAATTGACAGGAGACTTCAGACTGTGAGTTCTGATGGAAATCTGAACTAATGTGATGATGAAGGGGGACTGGGAGGAAGCTGCTGAACTGGTATGTAGAGAGGAAGGAGGTCTGGGGGGATGCACAGTGAGAGGAGATGAACAATGCATGGGTGGAGGTGGACAATCCAGAAGACATGGGTCATTAAATGAAAATCTGTGTCAGGCATAGGAGAGTTATTGGTCAGGGAGATTTCCAGAGGCCCCCCAAACATCAGTCTATTTCTATTGCTCTTGGCTCCCCACCATAGCATGATGGAAAGACCTTATTGCTGAAAGCACCACACTTTTTGGTTGTAGGACATAGAAAAGTCAAGCTGTGCCGGTGGTGGCGCATGCCTTTAGTCCCAGCACTTGGGAGGCAGAGGCAAGCGGATCTCTGTGAGTTCAAGGCCAGCCTGGTCTACACAGGAAGTTCCAGGCCAGCTGGGACTACAGGGAGAGCCTGTCTCAAAAAGACGAGAGAGAGAGAGAGAGAGAGAGAGAGAGAGAGAGAGAGGAAAGAGAGAGGAGAGAGAGAAGAAAGAAAGAAAGAAAGAAAAAAGAAGGAAAGAAAAGAGAAAGAAAGAAAGAAAGAAAGAAAGAAAGAAAGAAAGAAAGAAAGAAAGAAAGAAAGAAAGAAAGGGTTCATGCCTAGTACTTTTGACAAAACCTAGTCAAAAGCCCATGGCTCAGGAGGTCATAGGCCTTAGGGAGAAACCTACTACTGTCATTTTGTTAAGTGGACATGTTGTCAAACTGTCTTCTAAATATTTATGCTTATACTTATAAATATTACGGCTTTGTTTTTTTTTTGGTCGGGGGAGGTTTTGGTCTTTTTGAGACAAGGTCTCCCTGTAGCCCCACGTGGCCTAGAACTTGCTATGTAGACCGGGCTGGCCTTGAACTCACAGAGATCAGCCTGCCTCTGCCTCCTAAGCAGAGGAATAAATGTTATGTTTATACTCATATACTAAGTGCTGCTCTCAGCCTTGGCTAGAGAAGCCTCTTTCTGCAGTGGGCAGCACTTTGTAGTAATTACTTAAAATATGGACATAAGCTGGCATGGAGGCATACACCTTTGATCCCAGGGAGGCAGAGGCAGGCCTCCTCTGTGAGTTTGAGGCCAGCCTGGTCTACATAGCAAGTTCTAGGCCAGCTGGGGCTACAGGGAGACTTTGTCTCAAAAAGACAAAAAAAAAATGAAATATGGACATAATCTGGACTAATGACTTTGACCTAACTTTGCAACCTAAAGGTTACTGGTTATAATGTAAACAAGCTCATTGAGTTATGTGCACTTCTTTTAACCTTGACCTTAATCCTTCAGGATCCTACTTTGCCTTCTACCCAAGGTAGTGAATGAAAGTGGGTGTACTTATTTAACATATTAAAGCACTGGAAGCAGCCTTGAAAGTAATTAAAATAATTAAAGCATTGAAAGCAATTAAAATAATTGAGAAATCAGCTTGATACTGTGTATGTGAGATATTCTAGTCAGAGGGATCCAAGGACAAGATTCTCTGACAAGGGTAGATCCTAGCTTCTACTTTGCCTATTGATTCTGGAAATACTGCTCCAATAAAAGTATGAATGAAGCCTGTCTCAAGGGCACAGTTCCATGAGACATCTGAAGGAACAAATTCTCTGAGTTCAGGTCCACTCTTGGCCTTAAATGCTGAGTCAGGTTGTTTCTGTATTCGGGTATAACTATAATGTGGTCTAGTAATACTGCAGCTCTTAATTGGTCAAAGTGCTGAGAATACGTGGCTATTCAATGCTTAGCCCTAAATGGGATATCTATATTAATACCCCACCAAGACTCAGGGAACATCAAAGATGGAGCAGAAAGAACATGAGAGCCAAGAGATGGGGAGGAGTGCTATGAAACGCTGTCTTCTGGCCATTGCACTCAGGAACTCACTGCAGCTGTTATCTGCACAAGGTCAAGCCAAAAGGATCAACCAACATTCTAGCAGGTAGCACTAACTGGACTCAGCAGTTTACAAAAGAAGAAGGGGAAGGAGGAGGCAAATTGGGAGGGGGATGTGTTGGGGGTATCGAGGAAGAGTGGGAGGGTGGAGCTGGAGGATAGGGATAATCATGATATGTTGTTTAATGTATGAAACTGTCAAAGAATAAATACATAAAGAGAGGGAGAAAGAGGAGGCGAGCAAAGACATCGCAAGGCAAGAGGGCAGTGATAAGAGAAAGCAGTCCTTGCATCAATGGCATTGAAGAAGGTGGTGTCCTTACAAGTGACACTGAAATGCAAGGTACGGCTCTGGCAATAGGAAGCCAGTGCAGCACAGAGCAAAGGATGCTGGGGAGGTAGGGAGGATGCTGAAGGAGGAGCCCCTCCAGAAACATAGCCATTATAGCAGTGGTAAGAGTGATCTCTAATGAAAAAGAAAGTGGTTGGGGGCAGGGGTGGCTTGGTGATAGAGAGCTTGCCTAGAGCGCACAAGACACTGGGTGCTTCATACCAGCACCACAAAGAAAAATAAAGTGCTCAATTTTGACCCAAATTGGACAATGGAGTCCACTGATGCTCGTTGAGGGAGGAGGCAAGATAAGAAAGGAGAGTGCTTGAGGAGTTATGGGAAAGAGATACTGCCCACATCTCTCTTCTGTCCTCCAGTGCCCCTTTAGTCCGGGAGTTAGCGTTCTTAGCTCATTCCTACAAGGCAAGTGGCAATCTAGAGAGGTACAGACACTGGCCTGATACCAACAAAGGTGAGCCAGGCAGGGCCAGATCTTGAACATGCTGCAGGAGGCCCTCAAATCCAATAATGGAAATTGAATGGGCCAGGGAATCCCTGCTCTGTGCTGCCCACCCTGGAAGCTTCTAAGTAGGACAGGCATGCAGGAATGATGGAAGAGACCTCAGACTGTGTGTGAGTCATGGTAAGAACCTGACCCAACACACGCTGGGGGCAAAAAAAGAAAGAGAAGGGCCTCAGAGCAGAGCATTGGTTGGACAGAGAGGCAGAGTAGATGTGCTGGGTCAGTGAGGAGACAGCGGCTCCCTCCACCTGCCTGACTTCTCAGCTGTCTTAAGCCCCAGCCCTCTCCTGACCCCCCAGCTCCCTGACTGCCTTTCCTGACTCCTCAGGAACACATCCACCCAGACATCCCAGACCCATCCTCCTCCCACACTCACCATGCCCAGGTGACCCCAAAACCAGTTCCGTTTAGGGGGCTGAGGGAAGCAGCAAAGGCGGCAGCAGTTGATATCGAAGAAGTAAATCCAGGCCAGAATTCGGGCCAGGAGCCAGGAGGCCCCAGCCAGCAGTTGGAGCTGCCATGGGGAGGCCACCAAGGGCCCCAGTCCCGGCCAGGACAGGCTCAGCTGTGGCATTCTGCAGAGCAGATGGACAGAGAGTGAGATTCTGAGGCTCAGGAGAAGGACAGGCTTCCAGAGTCCCTAGGCAGGGAGGGGCAAGGGACTGTGTGGATTGGATACAGAGCAAGGCTAAGGGAGACCCAGGACAGTGCAGGGAAGAGACAGGGAAAGAGTAGAGAGAAGAGGAAGAACAGGAAGGGGAGGAACAGGCAGACAGAAACTGTGTCTAGAATGGCCCTGCTTGAAGCACAGGGAAGTGACCTCAAGCACAATAATTATGAGACCACCAGTCTCCTGACAAAGTTGTGTGGGAGGCTGGGCTAAGCTGAACCTGCCAATTTCTCTTAGACCCAGATGCCTCCTCCAAGCCTGGGCAGGAGGCCAAGAGGGCCGGGTGCCAGAGCAGAAGGAACCAGGCCCACACATGCAGGGGTTGGGTTTCTTAGGATTTGGCCCCGTCTGTGTGAATCAGGAGCAAATGTGACCTTGGCCACAAAGTTTACAAAGGTCCTATGGCAGAATACAGACTGAATTGAAACATCAACATTAATATAGCAAAGAGGCCAGGGGCCTGGAGAGATGACTCAAGTTAAGAGCACTGGCTGCTCTTGCAGAAGACCTGGGTTTAATTCCCAGCACCCACATGACAGCTAACAACCATCCTAACTCCAGTTTCGGGGAATCTGATGCCCTTGTCTTACCTCCATGGGCACTGCATGAAACATGTAGGCAAAACACTTATACACACAAAATTAATGAATAAAATAAATTAAAAAAGAAAGAGGCCAGCGTGCAGAGGAAGACTGGAAAACCTTCCTTACCTGGACTTCATCTAAGGAACAGAGGATGTCCAGTAGGAAGGGGAACCCGCTAAATACAAATGAGAGAGAGAAGGTCTGCAAAGGGCCTTACATCAGGTGGCTAGATGCCTTCGGGACTGAGTGCTTTTCTTTTTTAATAAGCTTTCCTTATTTGTATTTCTTTTTTTAATGAATACAATGGTATTCTTTTTAAAATTTTTTATTTATTATTTTTATTTTATGTGTATGCATGTATTGCTGCATGTAAGTGCACCCATGTCGCACAATGCCCATGGAGGTCAGAGAGGCTGTTGAATCCCCGTGGAACTGGAGTTATGGACAGCTGGCAGCCGCCATGTGGGTATTGGACATCAGACAGGTCCTCTACAAGAGCAGCCAGCGCTCCTAACTGCTGAGCCATCTTTCCAACCCTCAGAGGTATTTCTTTTTGAAAATCTGCTAAGTAGATAAGGCCAGAGCTGGAGATGGAAAGGGTTGGTCCTTGTCCTCAGGGAGTTCACAGCCTAAAGATAAAACTTACCAGGTCTTTGTGAAGTTGGGGGTTGTAGAAGGAGTAAAATGAAGAGAAAGTGTGGCTAGAGGGGGCCTGGAGGCCCATATGGGGAAGGCCACGTGGGGCTCAGGTGGGGGGGGCTGGGGGCCCCTCGGGCCAAGTGGGGGCCACCCCCTGTTGAGTTTAGGAGAGGTATGAAGAGATAGGACCCCCCCCACCCTGACCCCCGGCTCTAACCCCAGCCTGGTCTAAATCAAAGCTTTGTAGACTGGGTGGAACTTTCCATCCATAGATACTAGAGGGAAAAGGAGGGAGAAAGGAGAGGAAGACTGTGGAGACTCTTCATCTACACAGCAAGGAAAACGGAAAGGAAGGAGGGAGGGCTGTCCTGGGTAGGCTGGGCCTGGGAGGAGCTAGAAGCTTGTGTTGAGCCTGCTCTGCAGCTAGTACCACCAAGGACAGATTTCCCTTCGGTTTGATAGTCAGACTGCAGACCTGAGTCCAGAGAAGGGCCTCCGGGCTTGCTAGTTCTCACCCACACACCATTGCAGCGTTAAAGATATTTATTGTTTTTATTTTGTGTGTATGAGTGTATTGCCTGCATGTATGTAAGTGCACCTGTGTCGTGCAATGCCCACAGAGGTCAAAAGAGAGTGTCAGATCCCCTGGACCTGGAGTTACAGACGGTTGTTAGCTGCCATGTGGGTGCTGGGAATCGAACCTGTGTCTTCTGCAAGACCAGCCAGTGCTAACTAACTGCTGAGCCATCTCTCCAGCCCCGTAGTCAAAGAGGTCTTAAGGAATGTCTCGTGAGCATGAGCTATGAGAACATTTCATTCAAGTAGACACCATTCAGGGGACTAGAAAAGGAGCAGTGAAGCTATGGGCAGTGTCTTGATTCTTCTTTTCTTTACATGGAAAATGAGGAATTGGATAAATTCTTTTCAAGACTCCCTGCAGCTCAGTAGTTCTGTAGATAAATTAAACATAAGCATGATTTATATGATAACAAAAAATCATAAGACAAAGCCAGAGCTTGTTTATGAATATCTGGTTTGATAAACCGACAAGTAACAGAAACATGTACC